TTTTTTGGAAGTTTTTTTATTTTATTTAATTATTAAATTTTTTTATACTACTAGGGTGTATATTTTCTCGTATGGATTGAGAATATTTAATTTAAAATAATTGCTTATCAATAGGGAATCATAGAAGTTGTAAGTTTTCGATCTCAAAATTCACGACAACAAGAACTAAAATATTCAAAATAAACATTAAAAAACCCTTAATTTTATAATATTTACCACAATGTACATTGTATACATTTAGAAATAATACAAATGTCAGATAAGATAATGCACAATCATTACCTCGCATTCTATTAATGTTCGATGTACTATAATGGGTAAATATTATGTCAACAATAAAACCATACAGAATTGTGACCAGCTATTTTGGTGCTCCAAAACACATAATCTGAGTTATAATGGTGCATATTATTGGGTATTTTTTTACTACATAATATATATGTATATACGTAAAATCATATTATTAAATTATTGTTCAAAATTAAGACCATTATTATCTTAATGAACTAAAAGACCAAACTGGACTAATTTTTTTCTCCAAACAATCGGATCGGAGAGCATTTAATTTAAAAAAACGCAAATACCGAAAAATGCCGGACCGTGCAGAACTTTACACTGCGCACGGACGGTTTTGGTCAAGACGGAAGTTTTCAGTTTTGAATTTTTATCCGAATGTAAAACGCGATTTTCTCTCTGGCCCCGTTGTGCGGAGTATGCGTGAAGAAAGTAGCAGGATACTATTATTGTCGAACACGAAAAAATATGTGGCGTCGGCGGCGGACGGACGGACGGAGTGGCTCCACGGGACACGGAATGAATTACGGCTCGGCGACCGGTCGTGACGTGATCAACGACAGGTTGCTGCCGGTTTGTCCGCCGTCGACCAGCCAACCGGTGTTTGGCGGACTCGGACTGGTTTCTTCGGGCCGCAACGCGTACATGTACATGCATGCGCGTACGTTGTTGGCGGCAACGACGACGTCCGAGATGGTACGATGTTGGCCGCTGCCGGTCAAAAGAAGATAGAACCCGGGCAAAATAATGATATTTTCGTCGCCACGAGTGTGTTCAGGAATTCTATTTGTTCTCTAGGATTCGAAAGGTCCTGGGAAAAAACGCAAAACGTTTTCGGGATCGAAAAATCACCCCGACCGGTGAGTAGCGCTGAAAACCGATGAAAACTGAAAACCTCGATTGTTATTTTTCGTTCGTATAGCGAAATTCACCGTTGAAACGCGGTTCGGAGGGGCCTTCACGCGCGGACACAACGGCTGACCGTCGTCGCCGGAGACGTTTGAAGGACACGCGCACTGCGACCGCTGCAGTGACGCGCGTGGTAGAGTGGGGAAAATTAGTTTTCGTGCGTTAGAAAGGTTTTTATGGGTCGTCCGGTGCGCGATAGTGTTTCGTCCGACACATATATCCTACGTTATTATAATATATTATGCGTCGTGCTAATGGTATTCGTTTATATGTTTATATAATTTTTTATTTTTTTTTTTTCGAAAAAATAACCAAACAGTACGAGCTACAAACGCGCGTACAGTGCGCGAGACGAGACCAACGCGCGCGTCCGTCACGAAACACGCACAATGCGTGCGAGCGCAATGCATACGGCACGTGTGTTACATCACCGCAGGATTCGAAAACAAATGATTACAATCCTCTTCGGGCGCTCGGTCCTCCTTCTCTTCGCCATCACCCCTCAAGCCATTGTTTTCATCGATTCATCGCGGACGAGTTCGTTTCGATGTATAATACCCGGTAGCCTAAACCCGGTACAATAACTGCGCCACCAACATAGTGGCCGGTGTGGTGCGCGCACGATCGAATTCGTTATTCGCGTGTTACACTCGTAGAAAGTGAAATATACATGCACGCACACACGCCAATCTACTCGGCGGTGTTCGGCCGCACGTACCACAATGGAAATCGTATGGGAGTAATGTTATAATACGTGTACGTAATATGTACGCGTTCGCAGTGGCGTATAACGTAACTTTTGGATGGGGAGGGGGATCAGCAGTAAACAAATTATTATAGAAGGAAAATTCCTAAACTTAAATACTTGCATATTTTAATAATAATTATATATATATGTATTGAATGTGTCAAAATAATAATTTACAATAAATCCTTGTAATATTTTTTGTTTCCTTACATTAAGAACACTATTTTATACAATTCTAAAGATCTATGGGAAGGGATCTAACCCCACATCCCTACCCTTGTATACGCCCCTGGACACGCTTAACACGAGAATTGACGCCATTAAGATATATGTCCCATAAGTATTATAAATGGAAAACGATCGAACACCTTTTTACGCGTCATTCCGTGTACCTACCGTTTATTGATGTTCCCGTGTCGACAGTTTCTGTCGAATTGTCTCCCGCGATAAAACAATCAACTTCCAACCGACGTTGTTCTCCCATGTCTCCACCGTACAGATCGACCCGAGGTGGTGGTCGTGAGGTCGCGCGCGATTGTTTTCAACGGTTCAACGAACTGGATCCGTAGAAACGGGGTCAATTTTTTTTTTCTCCAGAAAAGTGAACAACCGTGTTTCTTCGATAATCATTACATTGTCAGCGATGATAGATAGGACGAACAACGAAAATCAAAACATGGGAAATAATATTATATTTTCGCTCGGTGGTCCGCATCGATATCCACGTCGTTCGAACGAACACATCAGTTTTCGACGTGCGCAACAGCAGTCGTGCCGCAACAGTTAATTGTGGTTTTATCGCACGACTACTACTACTATTATTATTACCAATGGAAGAGTAGGAGAAATGAAATGTACAACAGTTTTTTTTTTTGTCAAAATATTATTTTTTATTTTTCATTTTCAAATCTTATATTATCTTGCATATTTATTTTTTTTTGTCCATAATCTACTACATAACAAAAGTAAAAAATTGACAATTGCTATGAAGTGATATGACTGGCCAGGGGTGGTGAGGTTGTGCCACAATAAAAAAGGAGGTTTTCGTATTAACAAAAAAAAAAAAAGTATAATATATAATATATATAAATATAAATATTATATATATATACATATATATATATATATATATATATAATATATAAACAAAAATATATAAATCTTTCGACGCTTTAATGAGTAACACCTACTCGATATCAGCGTAGTATTTTATTATTTTGTTTTTAACACAATCCAAAGGTAAACTTAACTTTAAAAAAAAAAATACTGTTAAGATTACACTTTATATAGTGCCACTGAGATCAGAATACATTATAATAACCAAAAATAAAATAAAAAAAATAAAAATAAAAATAAAAATATCTTCATAAAATTATTACAATGGTTTCGAATTATTCATACAGAAATAAAATTATTAATTTTGGGAGGAAAAGACAGGCTGTTATATAAAAAATTCACACTCGCGCTTAAAGCCTACGAAATTTGAAAGTTAACGTTTAAGGAAAAAAGTTAAAATCCGTTATCACAATACATAGGTTTTCACTAGCCTATTTAAATTAAAAATTATTATAAAAAAAACAAACGATTAGGTTTAATGCCAATTCTTAAAACTTCTTTGACTGAATTTTTCTTAAAAATTTTAATTTAAATAATATATATATATATATATATTTTATAATATAATCTTTGAAATTTCATTTGCATAGGCAAAATTCTATAAAGATATCTACTACTCTACTCTTCAAATACTCGTATATTAATAATTATCTCTTACCATCAGATATATTTCCACGCACGGAAATATATACACTTTAATTTATTAAATTACATTACATTTGTGAGATATTCACAAAAAACAATAAAAGCTCTGAGGGTTTTTTTTTAAATAGTTTTAAATCAATAATATATATATATGTATATATTAATTTTATGTGATGTCAGTTAGGAACACTTACGCTAGGGTTAACATATGTTTATTTTTTAATAACATTTTTTTTAATATAAATATTTGAACGTGAAAGACATCTTGGCAAAACAAATTTTAAAATCACCCAATTAATTGAGTTTTTAGTTTGTTTTTTAGTTATCATATACACATATACATATAATATAAATATAAACGTTTTTTTTCTCTTTTTGGTGCAATTTATTTATAGCCTAAATAAGTTAATGTTGGTTAAAATCTATAATGTTAACTCTACTTTAGTTGTATCTTTATCTGGAGGACACACACAACATAAACACTCAATAATATAAATAATCTTTTTTTCATTTTGATTTAATCTTGGACGATAATATCAGACATAATATTATGTTCACTTTATATATATATATATTACCTCTCTCACTCACTACCATTCACTTATAATACGAACGTTAATAAAAAAAAATTATTTTGCACCTAATAAGAGACAATTTGTTTTTTTTTTTGTGTTTTTTATAAACTATTATACTTCATAAACTCTAATCTATAATATATAACCTTAAATGTTTACACTCTCTATCTATCTATCTATATATATAAATATATATAAATATATATATTTATTTATTTATTTATTGAAAAGCCGATAAAGAGCAACAAATTATATGGGTAAAAAAAATAAAATAAAAAAAGGAAAAAAAATTAATAATAATCATATTATAATCTTGTGACATATATAAATATACATATATATGTATACACATACACACATATATGTATATAATATAAATATAATCCAATGAATAAATGTATCGATAAAAATAATAACGAGAACAAAAACTAAACATAACATAAAGAACTGATCACAATCGATTTTTTTTTTTTTTAAAACTTCCGCACACACATATGTAATATATATATATATGTATATATAATATTATATTATACATGCCTTATGCTTGTTTTTTCGTGGTTATACTTAATTCACATACATTTAATATGTATATAAATTTTCACTTCAACACACTCATCACACACTCGCGAGACCAATATAAAATATGTATATAGGTACAAATATTAAAAATTTGGATTTTTTTAATTTTTTTTTGTTTTTGTTTTTTTTTGTTTTTTGTTGTTTTTTAATTAGTAATAATCGACGACGACTTACGATGCGCTGCTACTGCTACTAGTATTAACGCGTATTTTGTGTCTTGTATCGCACAGGCTGTTCCGAGGGGATCAGTCTTGGCTCTCTCTCATTCACATCGAGGGCGGTGGTGTTATTGGTGGTACGAGCACTAACGGTAGTATGACTACTTGAAGTTGGATTTTTAGTTGTGGTGGTGATGGTATTTTCATGAGATACTGTCAATGAGAAGGAGGTGGTGGAGGATTTGGCGTTTGACGGCGCCGGACATCCGACGCTCCTTATTCTAAAAAAGACCTGTACAGCTTCCTTTTTTCTATAGTGAATTCGCGATCAATCACTATAGTGCCACCTTTCGTCAGATTCCTGCAGAGCACAGGAAAAAAAACAATGGTGTAAAACGAATATTTGAAACAAAAAAAACCGTTTTTTTTTTTTTTATCGTAAGTTCGAGAGATACGTCACGATGGTACGTGCAGAAAACGACATTTTGGCGAACTTACCTAATGAATAATGGAATGAGTGACCATGTATTTTTAGGGTCTTGTTTGAGTGTAAGGAATAGCTCAAAAGTGGACACCGTGTTAGTGTCGCATTTGATTGTACCGATTTTCCGACACTCTTGTTCGCCTTCGAAATTCAGGTACAAGGTGCATCCTCTGTGGGAACAAAGAAAAAAAAACCGAAACTTTAGTTTATTTGACCATATTTAATTATTTTTTTTTTTTTAATCATGGAAAAAAATATCCGTACCAAGGGAAAAAATGCCGGAATAGAAAGATATTAGACGATACACTGGGAGAAAAAAAAGTAATATTAAGACACCAACCTGAGACCACAGGGTTCGCTTTCGGCCATCTTAAGAACGTCGTGGGCTATCCGCCGGAGCAAGTCGGGCGGTAGTAGAACTTCACCGCACGACAGTTGCGCCCGTTTAGCAGCCCGCAATTCTTCTTCAAGTCGTTGGTGTAAGGCTTTGAAAGCACTGGTTTCCGACTCGATATCCTCCAGTTTTAAGATTCCTGTGACACACAAAGAAAAAACACTGATCTTTAGAACGGTCGCAAAAAAAAATTAGCGCAAGTTTTATGTTGAACGAAAAAAAAAAATTGATGAACAAAAAAAAAAAAATAGTTATGTAAAGAGTTAAGTACCAAGAGTGGAATGGACCGGATACGACGGTTGTATGTAATACGGAGGTACGACTTCCATTTTTTTATCAATTTTATCGGCGCGTTTCGTTTTCGTTATGATTGAGCTGTGGAAAATAATTTTGATCGATTCGTTTTCAACACGCGCGAGTCGAAAAACCAAAAAAAAAAAAAAAAACAAAATTATAAATCCTTAACGCGCGCGACGCTTTGTTTCGGCAAAACGAGAACAAAACACAATTTTAATAGTACTCGGACAATTGGCACGCAAGAACGATAATACGAGTTTATTCTACTCGGACGAGAGACGATAACACTGCGCCCGTTAAAACGTATACTGATTGCGGTTGTATGTATAACAACTGTTGTGCCGTGTTGCGAGCAAGTACAGCTATGGAGTGAACCGAATCTGACCGCGGCGGTTAATCGACTGAAGAGAAGCGACTGCGTGTACGGCGGTTTACGGACTGAGCGGTGCGCGGTCGTCGTCGTCGGTCGGCGGCGGCGGCGGCGGCCCCGTCCGCCGGCCGGCCGGCTCGCGCAGCTCAGCTGTTCGAACAAAGAAACCCCGCGCGCCCCGCAACGCGACGTAGTTGCCGACCCCACCAACGGCTACACGGCGAACGACGGCGGCGGCGGCCTGGAAGTGGGGGACCCCTCGGCGTACACACCGCCGACCCCACCGACACCGTTACCACTACTACCAACAACCGAAAATCCGAGTGCCAGTGCGTATTATTTAGGGTCCTCCGGC